TCCCCCTCTCTCTCTCCTGAGATGGAGTCTCACTCTGTCACCCAGCCGGAGTACAGTGGTGCAATCTTGGCTCACCATAACCTTCACTTCCTGGGTTCAACCAATTCTCCTGCCTCAGCCTCCCGAGTAACTGGGACTATAGGCACCCACCACCACGCTTGGCGAATTTTTGTATTTTTAGTAGAGATGGGTTGTCACCATGTTGGCCAAGCTGGTCTCGAACTTCTGACCTCAAGTGATCTTCCTGCCTTGGCCTCCCAAAGTGTTGGGATTACAGGTGTGAGCCACCATGCCTGGCCAAAAAAAAATTAAAAAATTACTCTGTTGCTATCTGGCACTCCCTATCTGCCTTAGATTTTCTCCAAATCACATACCTTCAGCATTTCATGTGTCTTCCTGACGCATTGGGTCATCTGTGAAGGCAGGGACTTTTCTCCTTTAGCTTTGCTTGCTGTTACATCTTGAGCACCTGGAATGGTACTGAGTGACTGTTAGGCGTTCAAGTGACTGTTTGAATGCAGACACAGCCCTCAGTACTTTGTATGCCTTAGGGGGCATAATATGTCCCAGAAATGGTGTGAATGAAGGGGAGTGGTGTGAGCATGTTTGTCTTGGTGTGGAATTGGAAAGGTGGAGGGCCATGACCTGGTGGCAGAAGTCACTGAGGAGCCTCATGCATCAGTAGCAGGGCTGGAGAACCATGGCTTTACCAACGCACAGGAGGCGAGGCTGGGGAAGTGTGGACAGTTGGGAGAGAATAAGCGGAGGCAGCATTGCTGGGGCTGGGCCACAGCATGAGAGTGGTGCAGAAGAGGAGAGGGGCCCCAGTGATTCCCTTGATTCCCCTCCTTACAGATGGAAAGATTAGTTGCTGGTACCATTTTTACTTCTCTGTGAACCAGTGGAAGAGAAAGTGGGCCTTGTTTCTGACCTACCTTATTTGCTTCTGGAAGGAAGCTCTGATCTCACCTGCCTGCCTAAAAATGTGTCCCTGGAGTTTCACTGTTTGCTGAGAAGAGAAAGCCCTAGATCTTGAGCATGGCATGTGGTTCCTGCCCGTTTTTCCTCTGTGTGTGTCTGTGTGTGTGTGTGTGTGTGTGTGTGTGTGTCTGTGTGTGTGTGTGTGTGTGTGTATTTAATATATAACACTTTTTTTTTTTTAAAGACAGGGTTTCACCATGTTGGTCAGGCTGATCTTGAACTTCCGACCTCAGGTGATCCGCCCACCTTGGCCTCCAAAGTGCTTGGATTACAGGCGTGAGCCACCACGCCCGGCCTTATATAACACAGTTTTTAAAAATGTACATTTTTTCTTCCCTCTGTGACTTTGGCCAGTGATTCTGCCTGTCTTTCTCTTGTCTTTGCTGGCCAGTCCTTTGTGGTTGCTTTGAGATCTCATCATGCTGTCTGTAGCTCTTGTGAGGAGCTGCTCCCTGTCCCATGGATCTTTGCATGTACTGTTGCTTCTTCCTGAGTTACCTAATTTTGTGTTGCTGTGGTGATTTTCTGGCTCACCCCTCATTTCTGTGAAGCCTTTCCCTATTTCTACCAGAACTAGATGTTGCGGACCCTGGGCCAATGGCACTTGATGCAGTTTTTATTTTTTTGCTCCCAAGTTTGTCATGCCTTTGTGAGTACTTGGCCCTCTTTTGTGTGTGTGTGTGAGACAGAGTCTCGCTGTGTCACCAGGCGCCAGGCTGGAGTGCAGTGGCATGATCTTGGCTCACTGCAACCTTCACCCTCCCGGGTTCAAGCAGTTTTCCTGCCTTAGTCTCCCGAGCAGCTGGGACTACAGGTAGAGCCACCATGCCCAGCTAATTTTTTGTATTTTAGTAGAGACGGGGTTTCACTATGTTGGCCAGGATGTCCTAGATGTCTTGACCTCATGATTCGCCCGCCTCGGCCTCCCAAAGTGTTGGGATTACAGGCGTGAGCCACCGCGCCCGGCGTACTGCACCCTCTTAATGACAATTAGCATGTGGCACAGGCTCTTGCCGCATTCTCTTCTCCAGGTTGTGAATTTTTCAAGGTGAGGGCCCTTTGATTTGTCTTCAGTGCCTAGATGTGGAAGGCACTTAGTTAACAAGTGGAGATAGTTTTTTGTATTATTCTGTTTTCCTAATGATTTTTATTTCATGAAAATGTGAATTCCTATATTTTTGATTAAAATACGTGCTAGAAATAGGAGGCTTCTGTGTTCTTTCCCCTCCAAAATTTTGGAGTTAGTGCAATATTTGTAGAGCTTTGCTGCATGAATCTTTGAGCAGCAAAGCATCTTCATCTCATTGAATCCTCACAGCAGGAAATTGAATCCCAGTGATGTCAAGTAACTGACCCAAAGTCACAAGGCTGTATGCGATGGAGTTAGAAACTCTGATTCTGTACCCTGGGAACTTACTTGTTTTGCCTCTCAGGGAAAACTGTAACATACAGCTGTCAATTTGTGGATGGAAGAGTGAGCCATTACATTTCTGCAAGTCAGCATGGCAGTGTACTTCTGTCTGATATTTCTTCATTCATTGAGTATCAGCTGTGTGCCAGTGATGAGCCAAGACCTGTGTCCTTGGTCCCATGGGTTTTATAGGTCTGTAATGGGATGAATGGGGAGGGACAGTGAGCAAAGGTCTTATCTTTGAAAAACCTGTGAAACACTCTTGCCAAAAAAAAAAAAAAAAAAAATCAAACCTGAGTCCATTCAAGCTCCTGTGTTTAACAACCAATCTATGGGAAATACAGGGGGGGAGAGAAACATGTTGAACTATACTACAGGGTTGCCATTGGCAACATTGAGAATGTGGGAAACTAT